TATCTCTAACTGAGATAGTGCGGCAGGTTGCACTTAGGTACCAATAGGGTGGCCGAGTGATGCTAGACTTGAGTATTAGGAAATTCTATGTAATTATATATATTTAGTTTCAAGAATTTTAATAAAGTACTAGCGTAACTGCTTAAGGTTAAAAAAAAATATATATATATATATATTAAGAAAATAATACCAAATTTTGTATTTTTTGATTAAAAAAATCAAAATTTAGTATTATTTAATTAAACTTTAAAAAATATAAAATTTATTTTATTTTTTTTTGCTTTTGCTAAAATTATTTGTTATTTGTAACTATTATTTTTATTGTATTTTAATTATAGTTATATAACTTGTATAAAGTAAGTATGCAATTAGTTATTTTTTTTTTAATTATTAAGGTGAGGTTATGCCTTCAAGTCTTTATTAGTATATTGGTTATAGTTAGTACAATTTTTATCATACATTATCTATCACTATATATCTATTTAAACATAGGACTCAGATGTCTTTATCTGTAACCTAAACCTACCAGAATTTTGTATTATATCTCATTTACATCTAACCTGGATTTTTGTTTCACTACTGATTATATTAGGTAACTTGCATATTCCTTCCATGTCTCACAACCTATTTTTCACAACTTCCAAATTGGTTCACTGGGTCATTTGTTTCTTTTAAGCTCCTATCTTTGGTTTGCCCGAAAGGTGCCTCTCTAGCATATATCTCAAGCCAAATGCCTGCTGCCGCTACTATTTTTTCAATTCAGATACTGGTAGCATATATCTCAAGCCAAGTTTCTGCTGCTGCTGCTAGTTTGCAATCCTTCTTGGTCTTATCATTATTCAAATAGATTGTGCATTTAACTTGCTTCTTAAATACTCTCTTTTATGGTATAGTAGAACTATGTTTCAGAAATAGTACTTCTATTTTCTTCTAGCAATTGGCCAACATTTTCTTTCTACTTAAACACATAAGAATTTATCTTGTGTTTGCACTGCCCAAAGCTGGTTTGCATCCCTCTGTATATACTGACCTACACAGATACCTGTATAAATCTGCATTTTCATAGATGCCCTATGCTTGTTCACAAAGGTTACTTCCAATTTAAATATCTCAACTTTGATTGGTACAGCATTTATGTTGGTATGTTCCACTTGTTTCACTATAGGCTTCTATATAGGTGTGACCAGAGTTCTGATTTGGTACCTTTAAACATACAGAACAGGCTACAACTTCTCTATACGTACAGCTACCATCTATTTTCAGTCGTTCTATGATGCCAGAGGTGCTTCTAATCTTGATAAGACTAATCCTTTGTCACAGACCTTCTATGCATGCACTACTTCTCTTACCACTCCAGTATGTATTATCTTGGTATTACCCTTCTAATCAATTATTTCTCAAGTTGGATATGAAGATGTTAGTACTGTCCCATTTTCAGAGGACTTATATGCACAATACTTTGTGTAATAGAAACTTCTGTGATGCTGCTGTCACTTGTAATGCCTGCTCTCTGCAAAGTCGATCTCCTTCTGAAAATTTCTTTTTCTGTCATGTACTGCACTTAAACTTAACTACAGGGCTTCATATTCAATTATAGGCTTCTTATAGGTTACAGAGGCTAAAATCTTTTTGATTTTTGCCTCCAGCTAGACTTAAACCGTTGACCTTGACTGTGGAGGTATAGGAGCTTAACAATTAAGCTATAGAACCTACACCCAATATGCAATTAGTCATATATATAACTTTTTGTTACTTATTTAAATAGTTTATCTACAAGTTTTATACTAACTGTTATATTTATAATCTGCTAAAAGATTATCTAATTAAACATTTTACTCTTTATACTATATTCAACTAATAGTACACAAGTTTCTATATATCTAAGTACTATTTAATTTAATATAGATTTTCTTTTTTGTTTGTCTGTTAAGCTATTATATATTTTAGAATATGTTATTTGACTATAAAACATTGAAGACTTTTTGTTAACTAGTTTTATCTACTTTTATAGAACATTAACAGAGTTCATTTTTTTAAAGTTTATCTAAACTCTAGTACTAACTTTATAACATATTTTTAGTACTTATAATATATTTCTGTTTTGATATTTAATTCTTAATTCAAATAGTCTGATAAGATTATAACATGTTTCTGATATACTAAGTCTGATTTGATATCTTTTTCTTTTAGTTCAAGACTTCTGACAGCCTAGTTAATAATATCTTTTATACAAAATTTTTGCCTATTTAATTTCTCTATATTGGTATTTATTTTTTAGGTCTAATCTTTATAGTAGTACTATTAAAAATCTATATTACCTTTCTATTTAGATCTTTTTAAATAGGCTTTGATTTTTTCAGTTTTATAAATTTACATAACTATAAAAACTTATCTTAAGTTTGCATTACCTAGTACCAATTTGCATTTTTTTGTCTAATATTATATAGATGTTTTTTAACCTGTCAGTCATGTTAGTGCAACTATAATTACAGATATTTTATCTTAACTGATCAACAGAATGTTGTTACTATAATACAAATATATTTTTTTAAATTTTGTTATTAGTGAATTTTGAACTTACAATCTACTACTTAAGAGATTAACAACTTATCTATTTTACTAAGTTGCTACACCTCTAAGTATAAAATTTAATATACTAATATAATATAATTTTATATATAAAACAAAATTACTTAGAATATAAAAATAAAATTAATTAGTAAGAATTTGAAGATCATAAAATTTTCTATATTTTTTTATTAATAAAATTATTAAAAATTTAAAATTTTTAAAATTTTATTAATTAATTCTATTTTTATATTTTAATTCTAGAATAATACTAAAAATAACTAATAGTGATTATTATCATTTTAATTTATTAACAAATAAATATTTATGCAATAAATGTATAACATAAATTTAGAGTAAATATGTAGTTTTGTTTGGATCGCAAAGAATACATAGTTTTGTTTAGAGTTACACAGATTGCAAAAAATACATAGTTTTGTTTAGAGTTATATGGATTACAAAGAATATATAGTTTTGTTTAGAGTTATACAGATCACAGTTGTTGTACATATACTTTGCAAAAAATACTAGATAGCTATACAATCTCTAAAACCCAAATTTGAACTAAAACAGTTGGGATGACTTTTAAAATTCATATTTGTACATATAATTATACATGCTGGCTATTTCTAATTGTTATATACTATTTACTGTTCTTGCATTATATGTATTACAAATTACATAGCCAGGTTATTTTGCTATATATACCATACTTGCTCACATGAATATGTAATTATAGTATTGTAATAATTTAAACTTAGCACTTTGTTGACATGCAGTTAAATAATTAATTGAGATAGCTTTTATACTTACATTCATTATTCTTTAACCTATCTATTTTTTTCTGCAACATATTAACTTTTTCTATAACATACTTTGTATCTTCTTGGGGCTTATATTTTTTTTCTTCAATAAATTCGATATAACAAGTAAGTAGTAAAATGAATTAGTAACTTTGCACTTTATATTTATTTTATTTTTTCTAATCTGTTTATTTAGGCTTTTGTGTTGATGATAGTTATGAAGAATTTCAAATACATCTATCTGAAAATGTTGTAAAAAGTTATGATAATACCACAGTAAACTGTAATAAAAATCTGATTATGACTAGCAAATAGTAGAATTAATGTAGCTTTCACATTTCATATTAATTTTACCTTTTTATCTTGTTTTAAACTCTTTTTAGGTTTTTATATAAATAGTAATAAAGAATTTCAAACATCTTTTTTTATAAGTGATATAGAAAATTATGATAATGTCACAATAGAATATAACAAAAATCTGATTACAAGTAAGCAATAGAATTAATGTAGTATATTATATTTATTTTAACTTTTCTATCTTCTTTTAGACTTTCATATTGATAATAGCAAATTTCAAATATACCTTCCTAAAAGTAATTATGATGTCGAAGTAGAACGTAATGAAAATCTAATTATAATAAGCAGTGGCATTTATGTTTAGACCATTTGAATTTAAAACATCATTTAATGTTAATTTCTTTCATATCTTCAAGGTTCTCCCAAAAAATTAAACAATTAGAGGCAGATCAGTAAAGCTCAGAAAGCTAGACAAACAATCAACATTAAAAATAAGCATGACCTATTTTAGGTTTACTTGAACCTACTAAACCTTATTTAATTTTAATGTTTGTTTAATTTCTCTCTCTTTAAACAAACATAAAGAAATAATATTAAACGAAGTTTCAAATTCAAACAGCTTTACTTTTATATTTATTTAACTATTTTTACCTTGTTATAAATCTTTGTAGACTTTTATTTTGATAGTTATAAAGAATTTCAAATGTACCTTTCTAAAAGTGTTGTAAAAAGTGATAATAATGCCAAAGTAAAACACAACAATAATCCTCCAGTAGAATGTAATGATAACTCTGCAAAAGAATTCGATGAAAACTTCATGGAATCTGTTGTTGACCAAAATATTATTAATATTAATGTTGGAGACACTTTTTATTCTTGGGAAATTGCAGAAACTCATCTTAATCAATATGCAAGGTCTGCTGAGTTTTGCATATGTCATAAATGAGTTGAGGTTAATAATAATGGAGTTATTCGTTAACGAACATTTGAGTATAGTTTTTTAGGAGTATCAATCTCCAATCAAGTAATTGATCCAACACAACAACATTAATGGCCATTTAGAAAAATTGGTTGCCCATGGCACATAAACTTAACAATGCCTAAAGCTTTGTCAGAAATAGGCATTATAAGTATTGTTAAACAGCATAATCATTCTATAGTATCTGATTTAGCTTTGCATGCATCCAAATACTGCAGACTATCGAATAAAATAATAGAACAAATTAAGTTTTATGTTACCAAGAGAAACATGAGATCAAAACAAATATATCTCTTGCTATCTGCTAGTTTCCCAAATCAAATAATATGCAAGCAAGACCTTTATAATGCAATTTAGAAATTTAAAGCCCCTTTTGTCAAATGCCAAGGAGATGCTCAGCATATGGTTAATAAGTTAATTGATTTGCAAAAAAAGAAAGCAGGCTGGGTAATTAAAACAAGGCTTAACCTATTCAATAATCAACTTGCAAAGTTGTTTTGGGCATCTTCTGCTCAACAACAATATCTAATACAATATAATAATGTTGTGCAAATAGATAATACATGTCAAATCAACTGGTTCAACATGTATCTAACTCTTCTGATTGTTATTGATAATAACACTAAAACCTAACTTATTGCTCAATGCTTATCAGATGATGAAACAACAGAAAGTTATGAGTGGTTCCTTAATTGTGTTTTTGAAGAAACAAATAATGTTCTCTCTACTTGTCTATTTTCTGATTCAGAACCTGTTTTAATAAATGCTGTTGCATTAAAAATGCCTACTACATATTACTTTCTTTGCATTTTTCATATATAAGAAAATTTACATAAAAATTTGTGATGTAAATTAGGTAAATATTATGAAGCATTTTATAAAGAATTTTTGAATGTCAGAAATAGTCTATTTGAGAATGATTTTTATCATCACTGGAGCTGTTTATTGGAAAATTATCCTCAAGCTAAGAATTATTTTAATTATACCTTAGAACATTGTTATAAAGTGTGGGCAAAATGTTATCAAGTCAAATACTTCACAGCTAGAATTCAAAGTATGCAAAGAGTTAAAATGATGAATAGAATAATAAAAAATGATGTTAGTAGTTCATCTTCATTATGTAATTTACATAATACAATACAAAAATTGTTGGATTGTAAAGCTAAATAGTCTCAACATAATTTGTATCTTTAATGTCTTCTGATCAATCAAGCACCTTTTATTATTGAATCTGTATTTTCAGAGATAATTGAGTTGTTTAAAGAATATTTAACTCCTCATATTCTATTTATTCAATGCCAACAAATACTTGGATCATTATTATATTGTGCAATATTAATTCCTAAAGAGACAATTTATACTATACAAGAGATATGTTTATAATAATAGTGATTATTAATTTTTAAAGTAATAAAATGCTTATAAATTTCTTTTTAGAATCTTAGTCAGCTTGATTGTGATATTGGTTTTCTCAAAAATCACCTTGATAGACTACAAACAACACTTTATTATCTTATAGATAGAATACAGTTAACTGATATTTTGAAGATATGTAAACTTTCTAGACTTATAGTCACATATAAACATTATATTATTTTACTTATTGATGGAGGCATTTATGTACTTATTTAGCTATTATTAATCATGAACTTGTGTGTACACATTTTTTTAGTATTATGATGAATTCAAAAACAGCTAAATTCAATATTGGACTTATAGCTAAATAATGATATAAAGAAAGCATATATGATCAAGATACTCAATCTGATTTGCAAGAAAAGACTATTGGAATAATGACATTATTTTAGAATTTTAATACTAATCTTATAGTAGTTTATAATTTGCACATACTTGACAAGTTTAGAGCACCACACACCTTTACAGCTGAAATTAGACAACATGCACAAAAGAAAGTTAAATATGAATCTGAGTTCAAAAAGGCAAAGAAAGCACTTAATTTAGCACTTGATATGGGTTGTAAAAATGAATTTATAAACATAATTGATAGTTTTATTAATCAAAAGAAAAGTGACATAAGCATTACTAATATTGAAAATATTGAGAATTTATATATATTGAATCCCTTGATTGTAAAACAGCATAGACGTCTACCAAATAAATATATCAAGTCATTAACAGAAAATAATTCATACAACAGTACTAAAACTAGTATTAGTGTGATTAATTCAGTTGATCCTAATTTATATATCTGCAATGTATCAAAAACTACTATACAACAAATGCAAAATTTACAGTATTTATTTGAATTAACAACAAGAACTTCATTTCATACTCTTAACAATAATTCAAATAATCAGGCAGATACTTTATTTGATAGTAGTTCTATTGGAGCAACTCAAGATATAAAAGAAAATGCAGTTAAACAAAAATATATATGTAAAACATGTGAAAATCCTGGTCATAATTCACGAAAGTGTAATAAGTAGGTTTAAAAAGTAATTTTTACATATATGTATAGCAATTAGTTGCACACATTTGATATTTCAACAAGCATTTTTAAGTCAGATGATAATATTCATAATAAGAACTTGCATTAATTATACATTATATATAAAGTCAAAATGAGTTGAAATTATTAAGGTTAGAATCAGAGAATTAAATTTTGAATTTATTATATTTCAATCTAAGTGGTTCTAATTCAATTGAAGATCTGTTCCTAATTTGTATATTATTTAAGTATGCCTGATATTAGTGTTTTTTTTTTTTTTTTTTTTAAGGTGACCTCTTTGGTCTTTTGACTTTTATTAATCACTTATCAGTATTGTAGTTCA